CCCGACCCCCACCCCGGAGCCGCTCGTGGCTCACGTCAGCAGGAGGCCCCACCCCTCAGCGTGCGCGAGCCGGGCATGCTACGGCAGCCTCCAGGCAGAACCACGGCTCCTACTGGTTCCTGTCTGGAAAACTGCAGCTTTGTCATATGACAACAGAAGGCGCATGTCAGTCACGTGACTCGGAGATGGCGAGATCAGGCCTCCCTCCCAATTTTTTATACCCTGTTGATCTCCTTTGGGGTTGTCCACCTGAGTGCCTGAGCGCAGGAGAACAATGTCCGGTATCCAGGAATTTTTAAACAATCGATACCAGTCCTTTCGGCAGGATGCTAGGAGCACAGCAGCGAGGGTTATGCTCGCTGTAACAGAGGACCATTCCGCCCGGATTCAGGCATTCTACTCAGTCAACTTACTGTTGGGGTTTCTGCCGCATGAGGGGTCCTCCGAGAGATACAATGGACGTTGGTTGATGATGTCATTGGGGTGCGATTCATGGGTATTGTGGACCCCAGTGGCGAGGAGGAACCTCGTCGCCGATGGTTATTGCTTGTGCAGGGCGCTCTACACTTCACTGGCGGCGGCGGCCCCGGGGCGCGGCGCGGGCTGGGGGTTGGCTGTGCTAGGTCCGGAGCCGGGGCTACTTTGTGCCGGAGCCGCGGCAGCGCTGTGGCTTTTGTTGCTGCTGGTAACAAAGAGCCGGGAGCTTTGCAGGCGATGGGCAGCGGGGGAGCCCGGGGGCTGCCGGGCCTGAGGGCCGCGCGCTGACGGGAGCGGCCAGAGGCTGAGGCAGCTGCACAGCTCTATCGCCCCGTATGCCCGGCGGCACCTGAGCCAGGCGCGGCCCCACTTCTCACCCCCCTTTCTGGGGTGCGCTCTCTCCCTGCTCCTCGCCTCCTCTGTGTCTTCTTCGTCCCCTTTCTCTCCCCGTCCTCACAAAACCATGTAACTCTTTCCCCCCTTTAATGTGCCAGTTCCGAGGCAAGGAGCGTTAATCCCCGTCTCCTGCTGAACTGTGCATTGGACCAAGCATTTATATCGTGACTGAAATCCGCACCGCTGTCCAAAAGAGTCGCATCCCCTGCCCTGACCCTTTTTCTTACTGATTGTTTTAAAAGATTTTTTTCATCTCTGTAAAGTGTCGCTTTTCGGTGCTTTTCTTCTACAATAAAAAAGACGCTTCTGCAGTAAAGAGTCTTGCCTGGATGTATTTTTTCTTTAAATAAAAATCTACATTGGATGAACAAGTAAAGATGGATAAGAAATCATTTGAGACCGTGCTTGATGAAATTAGAAAGGTAACTTATCTTTTTACATGTTTGGTTGTAGTAAATGCAAAACTCCTTGCTGGAGTACAGTTGGTTAAACACAGTTTGCCTTAATTGTTGTTCCTTCTGGAAGGCAGTAAAAGTCAAATTATTGCCTGCTCTTCAAAGACCAGAATGATATGCTGATAAGACATACTAGTTTTTGCTGAATGTAAACCAAATTTAGTCTAGTTGAGACTCTTTCTTGTGTGGCATGTTTGTTTCCATCTTAATGCCTCATGGCAGAGATTATATCTTGTGAGATTGTGTTGAAATTTGACTAATTCATAAAAGGTTAAAATATAACTATAATAGATATTTTTAAAAAGTGGGTTCAACCTTTCTTCATTTGCAGACCCCTAAAAAATTTCAAATGGAGGTGGAAATCTTAGTCTGAAGACCTCCGGGGGTCTGTGGACCACATGTTGAAAACCACTGTTGTATATTGACAGCCTTTTGTGGACCCCTTAGATATAGTCAGCGGACCCCTGAGCTCAGTGCCACAGGTTGAAAATCACTATTTTAAATTATTTTGTTCTGGACTTGTAAGTAGTATATATTGTATAGTTAAAGCATGAGAGTGAAAGACAGAAGATCTGCATTCTATTTCTTGCTGTTCTAGAGTTCCTATGCAGTGTCTATCTAGTTACTTAGGCCTTGTCTACACTGCGGGGGGAGATTGATCTAAGTTATGAAACTTCAGCTACATGAATAACGTAGCTGAAGTTGATGTACTTAGATCTACTTATTGCAGGGTCCACACTACGTTATGTCGATAGAAGATGCTCTCCTGTCAACTCCTCTTGCTCTTCTCGTTCAGGTGGAGTACAGGAATCGACGGGAGAGCGATCTGCGGTCGACTTAGCGGGGCTTCACTAGACCCGCTAAATCGACCGCTGATGCATCGATCGCCATGTGTGGATCCCCCGGCAAGTGTAGACAAGCCCTCGGTCTCTTGAAACCTCAGGTTTCCTCAGTCTTTATGTAGAACGAGGCATGCTATGGGACTTAGTTCATTCATGTCTATAAAGTGCTGTGAGATTCTTAGATGAAAGGTTTTTATGGAAGTTCAACATATTATAAAGGTTTCAATATTAATGCTATATTATGCATTTTGTGCTTTTAAAAAAAGTATGTGTAATCCCTCCCGGACTTTTGGTCATGTATGAACAAGTTTTCGAACGCTTTTCATTTGCTCAGAAAACTGAGACTAAATGACGGGCATTTTAATATTATACTGGATCATGCTCTATCAAAACATTTATGTTTGATACTGGCGAACTTTAAATTCTTTAAGTGGACTAGCCTGTTCTATAGCTTGCATTCTCATCCCAGATGTGATGAAGATTTAAGGAACACCAAAATGACCCATTTATTTTAGGTATATTTTAAATTGGCATCACTTTCTTCCTTTACCAGATTTAAGGAATATGTTTTAAAGTTATATTAAGCTAAAAAATCATGGGATAGAAGGTAGTTGGAAAGTTAAATACTGCTACTATTCCATGTGAAATTTGACTAACACTGACATGTATTTGTCCTTATATGTAATACATCTTATTTTTATCTATTTCCCACACTTTATCTTTTTAATATAGATTTGTACATCGTAGGTGTTCAGTTTAGAATTGAGTTGTTTTTAAAGTGAAGGCAACATCCAGTGTCATGTTTAAATACAGTTTTTGATTGCAAGTAAAATTAATTCAGTGTCTTAAAAGAGCACCCCTAAAAGTTAATCATACATTGAACTAATTTGTTATCCCATTAGTGAAAGGCCCTGCCTAAACTGGCATTTTTTTAATATTTTTGTTGTTGTTGTTAATCTTGAAACTACAATTCTTTTAGAGGATATAATGCTTTGAAAAATCAAATTTTACCTAGTGTTAGTGACATTAAATACTTATTATGGGTATGAGGCTAAATCTTCCCCAGCAAATATTTTTGATCAATGGTAGAAGAAGAAATTCATAAAAAGTGCAATTTTAAAAATAGCTTGCTAGTTGGTTAAATTAAACGTGGGTCTCTAATCTTTAAAAGTAGGTTAAACATTCACTTGTCGGACAAACCGCTAACCTGATATGGTCTACTGGAATTTTCTGCTGAGCTAACTACTGATGATAGTTGCTTAACTTGTTTGCCTCCATTTCCTAATCTGTAAAATGGGATTAACATGTCCCAACACTAGATATGTTGTGAGTCTTAACTAATTATTTGTAAGTGATTTCAGATTCTAATACTGAAGGCAGGGTAGAAGTAATTAAGTAGTATATATGTATATGAGAGAGAGAGAGAGAGACTACGTATTCAGGGTGAACTTGAAATCTAGTCAACTTTAAAAATGTATCGAAAGTACAGTATCAGATACTGTGTGTCTCCCTGAATTCACATGTAAATTTTTGCAATTTTATTTTATTATTTTAAAAATATGTTCTCTCTGCTTTTCATTATGTGAAAGGTTCATGCCAATGAAAGGAAACCTCAGCTTTCTGTAGTGTTTCAGTTGTCTTATGCTACTTGTAACAATAGTAATTTTTTTTTGTCAGCATTAATTTTTCACATAGCCTCCCATTAAATAAAGTTCAGTTTTCTGAGTTATATTTTAGAGATACCAACTGCTTTTTGATTTAATTTAAAATACCTTAAATGCAAGTTTTATCATGCTATTGTTACTCAAACTATTAGCAACTTAGCTCTGAACATGTGAATGAAGGAAAGGTTACCCCTGTTTCTTGTAAGTACTGTACCTACAATCCAAGTCCCTTTCTAGTAAATTATTGATGAATAGGCCCATTGACTGACTAGAATCACTTGTGAAAAAATTTTAAGACCAGCTCTGTACCACAATGATCCGATAACTCTTACCTTTGAATCCCTCCACTGGTCCCCCGTCTGCTATTGCATTAAACTTAAGCGTCTCCTCGCCTCCTGTAAATCTCTGCGTAACTTTGCTCTTCCGTCCAGTTTCATGTTGCCCATCTCCACTCTGCTAGTGCTCTCAGCCTTGTTGTCCCATTTGTCTTATTACACAACCATTTCCCCACCTTCTTCCACACAGCCCCTATTCATATGACCATCAACAAGGCCTCTAAACTCCTCATTTAAGTCCCCTTGAAAGAACCACTTCTGCTGTGCTACTTACAGTGACTGCTGACCTCTCTTTCCCTGTCAGTCTGTTTCTGTCCTGAGACTAAACCCCTTCAAGCACAGACCTTTTTTTTACTGTTTGTAAAGCGCCTAGGACATAGTGGGTTCTATTGTAAATACAAACAAAGTTCTGGGAGCAAGTTCAGAACTGTATTTGAATAAAATTCTGAAACAAGATTTTTTCAGATGTGTAGATTTGTAATATTTTGAAATTTTATGCGATCTTCTTGGATATTTGGACATAGTATAAGTAAAGAAGAATCTCCCAGAATCTTAAAAAAAAAAAAAAAAGAAAAGGGGAAAAAAAAAAAAGAGAAATACTCGTATCATTCTAAGGCCTGCTACCCATTTAACTTCCTTCAAACATACCACATGTAATGATGATGTCTTGATTTCTGGAAATAACTTTTAAAATGGAAGCAGAGGAATAGGAATGAAGGAGTTCAGTAAGAATGGGGTTATTTATCCTCAACTTTGTGTAGAGATGAATTTTCTTTGTAAATAGCTTGATCATACTAGAGTGGTATGGTGCAGAGAGAGAGCACTTTTTCATTTGCACTTATTGTTGTAGTCCCTAGAGGCCTGAACTGTGGGCCGGGGGAGGAGGCTATGTACTGTACACAAAGAGATGGTTCCTTTTCTTTTAACTTCCAGAGAGGATAAAGCCAGCATGATTACTTTTGTTATGGTTAAGCTGGGTTTAACAACTTGATTGTGGAGTTTCACAACAGAATACTTATGTTTGCTAGGTAGGAATGCACTGAAATAATATTGCCTCTAATTTTGAACATCTTGCCATGGGCCATAAGCTTAGACATCTAACAGATATCATGATACCAAAAAACATCTGATATAAAAATAATAGGTCAGTCTAGTGCAGTTTTTGTGCGGGGCCTAAAGATAGCATAACTTGCCCCAGGATTGTCTACCTCAGGTTTGCGACACCCTCATGCAATGATGATCACTGAATATGTTTTTAGTTTTGGACTGTTGGAGTAGTTAGAACACCCTTTGCTCATACATGACCCCAAGACCTAACCTAATTATTATAACTGCTCTTATGTAGTGATTTTTCACCTGCAAATCTCAAAGTATCTTATAAAGGAGATAATTATCATCCCCATTTTATAGATGGGCAAACGGAGGCACAGAAGGGTGAAGTGATTTGTCCAAGGTCTTACAGCAGGTCAGTGGCAGAAAGGGGAATAGAACCTATCTCCTAAGTACCAGTCCAGTTCCCTAACCACTGTGCCACTCTGCTTCCCTATGTTTTGTACAAGTGTGTATTAAACATGTGTACCAGGAGAATATTGACAAGCTCACAGCATTCTCTAGAGCTAACTTTCATGACCATAATTTTAGTGATCACCTTTATATTTCTAGCAGCCTGTCCACAAGAAATGCCCAGAGTGAGTGGCTCTAGATCAGGGATCGGCACCTTTGGCACGCGGTCTGCCATGGTAAGCACTCTGGCGGGCCGGGCCAGTTTGTTTATCTGCTGCGTCCGCAGGTTCGGCCGATCGCGGCTCCCCCTGGCCGCAGTTCGCCGCTCCAGGCCAGTGGGGGCGGTGGGAACCGTCGGCCAGCAGATCCCTCAGCCCGCACTGCTTCCCGCAGCCCCCATTGGCATGGAGCAACGAACCACGGCCAGTGGGAGTTGTGATCGGCCGAACCTGCGGACGCGGCAGGTAAACAAACTGGCCCCGCCTGTCAGGGTGCTTACCCTGGCGGGCCGCATGCCAAAGGTTGCCGATTGCTGCTCTAGATTCTTCATAAAATAATTAAAGCAAGATGTACAACTAAATGCCTTAAATAGGAATATATATAAGCTGCAGTTTGAAGTAGTTAACTGCCATCTCTTGGTTTCGAGAGTTTATATTAAAGCCTGTGTATCTAAAGCTTGAAAGGGAGGACCATTATGGTATTCTTCCAGTCTGAACCTAAACAGAAAGATGGTGAACTTCTTAATAGAGAAACTAACAAAGTAAAAGAGATATTAAGTCTCCTTCTGCTTGAAAATATTCACGTAATTGTTCAAGGAATATTCTGTGGTATAGAAATCTTTCAGTATAATTGATGCAAATTTTTGTGAGATTAGATATGTTTTTCTCTGGAATACATTTGTCTTGCAGATGGTGTGTTTTTAATTGTTTTTGTTTTTGTTTTTTTTGTCAGCTAAATGCCTTTCTTTGTCTTTTAGGCTGTGTTGACTGAATACAAATTAAAAGCTATAGAATATGTGCATGGATACTTCTCTAGTGAACAGGTAATATTCTACATACTGCTATGTAATTATGGAAAATGTAAAATTCAGGATTTGATCTATATACTCATGTACATAGACAGTTACTCCTGCTATGCAAAGCCAGATCAGATTTCACTAGTTGCCTTTTTACTAATTTAGGAGATTTGTGACAAATTCTTTGTTACACCAGTTTTAATCTGGAGTAACATAATAATGGGGTCCAGATTGTACCAATTAATAGAGATCAGATTTTGGCTCTTAGCATGTGGGAGGGAAATATCCGTAGTTAATTATCATGGAATTCAGGACCTTGATGATGATGGGATATTTTGAACCTGTCTTTATCTTCTAAGCTTATAAGTAAAGATTGTTACTTTGGTGCCAAGTAAGATAATTTTATGGGATTTTTTTGTGTGTATGTGTGTGTGTGTGTGTGTGTGTATGTATGTATATGTATGTATTTGTGTATAAATTTGGATGCTACTCTTTTTGAAATTAAATGTTTATAATCTTCTCTAAGGCTTCTTTTTTAAAAGTCTATAATACTCTAGCATGTGTGATATTTGGTCAGGTATTTGTGTATATAAAAACAAGAATATTAAAATAATTACCCCAAAATCCATCTTGCTACCCAATGGGATTTTAAGGGTTAGATGAAACAAAAAAACACACTGGACAAGAACATAAGAACGGCTTTACTGGGTCAGACCAAAGGTCCATCTAGCCTGGTATCCTGTCTTCCGGCAGTGGCCAATGCCAGGTGCCCCAGAGGGAATGAACAGAACAGGTAATCATCAAATGATCCATTCCCTGTCGTCCATTCCCAGCTTCTGGCAAACTGAGGCTAGGGACACCATCCCTGCCCATCCTGGCTAATGGCTGATACTGTTGTGTAATAACACCTGATCAAATAGTGCCTATATATGCACAGTGCCTAGCAAAATCCCACCATGCTTAATGAGTAGAGTGGCAGCAAAGATATTTAATGTTGTCAGCGGAACATGTGTATATATAAGAGGTGAACTGTAGGTTTTTCTGTTTCAGATTGTTGAATTACTGAGATACTTTTCTTGGGCTGAACCACAACTAAAGGCAATGAAGGCTTTACAACATGTATGTTTTCATGGAGCAATCCTTTGAAGTGTCTCTGCCTGTTTCCTCTGCTTTTAATTTCCATAACCACATCTGTATTCCCATCGCATGGGCATAGTTTATAATCTGTGTGCTTTCCTCTTCACCGCTTTCTCTTATGATGGCATTATGCTGTGTTGCTTCTCTTACTCTTTGCGTCTATCGGGAGTGCATATCTTGATTGTACGCTTTCTGCACCATATATCCCAGGGAATAATCTAGTTCTTGGTAATTATGACTAATTTAAACATTTTGCAGTAGCATACAATTTGCCAGAATTGGGGCTCTATTATGTATTCAGCACTTAGCACATAAGAATACTGTTCCTCAGAGAGTGTAAGATGATTGTTTATTGAAATTCCTGATAATGAAGATTTTAAAGTTACATACTGTACTAAAAATAAGAATCCTGTCTTATTTTTTATTTTCCCTACTTGTGTTGTCAGAAAATGGTAGCTGTTCCAGCATCAAAAGTGGTTAATATCCTTAACTGCTTCACCTTTAGTAAAGACAAGCTTGTTGCTCTAGAACTCTTAGCTTCGTAAGTATTTCTTTTATGTGTTGTATTTACTTACTGAGATGTTACTGTTTTTATTCATGTCTGAATATGTCAGACAAAGGAAAGTTTCAGAGGAACCACTTTGGACAATTAAGGCAAAACACCTACTTGCTTTAAAATGATTTGGTGCTCATGAATGGAAAAAGTAATGGCTGTAGCTTGTAATAATGGAGCTAGGCGTTGCCAAACTTCCTAAGTTCATCTGTCCTGAACTGCAATACCCCTGCTACCCGATTGAAAACTGACTGTTGTGCCAAAGTTAATGATGTATTCAAAAGCCTTTTAGGCTATGTCTACACTGCATATCACTGGCAGCAGCATGTAGGGCAGTGTGTAGCTACAGGCTTCAGTGAAAGGCTCTTGCAGGCGGGGCAGCAACAGGGAAATGCCCCAACAGCTCTCCGCTGCCAAAGCCTTTTCCCACTGGCTACCCGCTGCCTGAGCGTTTCCTGCTGTGGGAAAGACTCTGGCAGCGGGACACTACAACCCTAAAACTAGCAGTGTAGAGGGGGGAGGCATTTCTTGGGCGTGTACCTGTTGTGGTTGCTGGGAGACGGCAGGCCTAAGCCCACTCAAAGCCAAAGGCTTGCTCCCTCAACCGAAGGAAAGGGGCCATTGAACCCAGGCCACAATTAAATACTGAGGACAACCAATGCGGGGAAAAAGGAGACAGGAGTGAAGCTTAAAGGTTAAAAATCAAGGATCCAGAGGAGGATCCTGAGCAGAGAATCCCTGACAATGCCCACTGCTCCTCAAAGGTGTCTGAGCAGTCAGTGGACATCACCCAGAGGAACTCTGCCCGGGATTAGACAAGGAACCAGAAATAGGTCCCACAGTAGCAGAGCACCTGCCATCCATTTTCCTCCTCCTCCTGGTCTGATGGTTGGCCATCTTGGCCAGCACGAAAAGGAGGTTGATGAGGAGGTCTCATGACTTTGTGGGGCTGCGACTAGAATGTGCTAGGATAAACAAGTGAGGGGGAAAGTGCAGCTAGTGTCTCAGTAAGAAGTTTTGGAGGAGCTGGAAGAGGGACTGCAGCCTGATGACTCTACGTTAAATGTGTGCCAGTGTCTCCCTCTCACCGCAAAAAGAACAGGTGTTGGGCGTTCGTAAATAATGCCAAATACATGCCTGTACTTACGGCTCCATGGAGGAGCTGCCAACTAATGTCCCCAGCAGGCTGTGATATCAGAGTGGAGTATAGGCTGGCCCACCGAGGTTCCTCGCCCACCGAGGTTCCTCACCCGCCTCAGGTGTCAGCAGGTCCTGGAACTTGGTGTCGAGGCAGGACACAAGGGTGAGGAAGTGGATGGTATGAAGCATGTGTACAGATGTTTTCTGGGTGCAGTTCGGAGACAGACCAGCTGGATGGCATTCAGCCTATTCAAGTGGCTTGTTGGGATGGCCAGAGGGGCTCAGGCAGGGGCCTGATGACAACTTCTAGAGGGTCAGGGTGAGAGGTGGGCCAAGGGCACCCTCGGGCAGGACCTGCTCAAGAAAAGAGAAGCAGGAGACTTTGGATGTGTAGAGAGCCGTGTAGGGTACAGACCCTGTGGATTCAGATGTCTTTACTCTAGTCACCTAAGCAGTGCTTCAGTGTCTACACTACAGTTTATACCCATGCTATTGGGGGGCATGTAGCGTATCTCCATAAGGAGTGTGTAGTGTAGGTGTACACTTAGAATCTTGGCAGAGCTTATCAAACTCATTTCCACTTACTGAACTATGCCAAAAGTAGTCCAGGTGGGTTAAAACTGTGTATTAGGGTTTCCCTGAGACCTCTCCCACTTGGTTCTCCATGAATTCAGTCCGACTCAGATACCTTTATTTGGCACATGGCGAAGCTATGCTGAGTTGATCGGACTCAAGCTTAGGGGGTTGGTATAGGGCAGTGGTTCTCAAACTTTTGTACTGGTGACCCCTTTCACATAGCCTCTGAGTGTAATCCCCCCCCCCCAATAAATTAAAAACACTTTTTTATATATTTAACACCCATTTTAAATGCTGGAGGCAAAGTGCGGTTTGGGGTGGAGGCTGACAGCTCGCGACCCCCCCATGTAATAATCTCACGATCTTCTGAGGGGGTCCCAACCCCCAGTTTGAAAACCTCCGGTATAGGGCATACGACACATCCAAAGTTACACAGCAAACCTCTTCCTTTATATGCCTTTACACATTACATTGCATATACTATCAATTGTATCACACATTTTGGGATTGGCTTAGTCTTGTCGTAGGAACCAATCCCTGTACATCATGCACTATGCATGTAGGACTACTCTTTACCTCATTTTATGTTCTAGCATTATCTTGTCCATTGTAAATTGTATTCCCCTCCCTCCCTCCTTATCTTATCTAGTATAGACATTCTGTTTCCAGTCAGCAGATTCTAATCCTCTCTCCCAAGGGATGAGACCTCACCCATGTCCAACAATTCATATCAAGCCATTCCTACATAGGGCATTAGCTCACTGTCATCTATCCAATACCCAATGCCTTCTGCATTTTAAAAGCTCCCTAAGTATTTATTTACAATTGGCAAATAATTCACTTTTTAAAATGTTTCCATGTAAACATACATTTGGGATTATTGATGGAACACAACTGCTCCAGGATCTGTCTATCCTATAAATCTATATTTGGGGACTCTTGTACTGTGGTTCATAGTGTTAAAGCCTATTTGCGGACTTCTTAGTATGCCAATTCTTGATATGAACAGCTGTTAAAACAAAGAACACTAACACCATAAAAAATATACTCAGTTCATGTTATGGCTGTGGTGCAAACTAACAAAACAGAAAAAAAGTTAAAGTTGATCCACTTTTATTTTACACCATTGTGCTTGTGTGTGGCTAACAGCTTTGTTCAGTACCATGATGATCCCATTTACACCACATTTTCCTCTATCAAGAAATCTATTTTTATGGAAAGTAACTATAATCATAGTTGTTCTTTGCTATTAGCTCTCCCTGTTGCTAGTCTGGAACATCTGTGACAGCAGTATGGCTGCTGCTACCAGGACCATTAGGCAAAACGGTGACACCAGGTATTGGGATGCCTGCTGCACTTTGAAATGTTAGTTGTTTGGTATATTTCTTTATTTAAATTTTGATGTGACACCACCACTCCACAGCATGGAGGTAACTGCCAAGAGCCTCTTTTTGATCCTGCAGGAATCTGTCACCGGGCCACCAGATGGTGGAGAGCAGGAGCCTGTGCCAAGCCTGGTAGCTGCAGCCTTGCTGCTGTGATAAGAATTGTGCATCAGTCGGAGTGAGAGCTGCTAATGTGAACTATGACAATAAACTTAGGTTTTACTCATCCTTTCAACATGGCTGTTTTGGCCACTCAGAAATTCAAGTTTGTATTTTCCTGTGTATTGTATTAATTTACAAAGAATTGAGACCCTATTTCAAGACATAAGCATTGGTGGCATATGTAAGGCTGAATTCACTTCTTGACCTGTAAGAGGGAGAAATCAAGCACTACTCAGGTTTAATAATAGTTTGTGCACAGACTAATTATATATATTAATAATATATTACTGAGAACTGTTTGAACAAATAATGCACTATTCAAAAATGATTAGTACACCTCTACCCCGATATAACGCTGTCCTCAGGAGCCAAAAAATCTTACTGCGTTATAGGTGAAACCGCGTTATGTCGAACTTGCTTTGATGCGCCAGAGTGCGCGGCCGCACCCCCCCCCCCCCCGGAGCGCTGCTTTACCACGTTATATCCGAATTCATGTTATATCGGGTCGCATTATATTGGGGTAGAGGTGTATATAATATTCCAGGAATGTCACTCTGTGTGTCACTGTGAAGCCTAAAATGTCTGGCTAGATAATGTAAAGTCGTGGAAGCAGCTACAAGCATGGTCGAGAGCTCTTTTGGTTCAGAATATCACCAGGTTGATCCATCACTGGGTTTTGTGATCTGTTACCATCCAATTTTTAACATCTCAGCCATTTTCTCTTTTTTACACACACGTCCCCCCTATGCCTGTGCAGTTGCATGGGCTTTCAGCTGCTAGTTCCTGATCATGTGTGTGTGATAGGTATAAGAAATGACAGTAACTGTTCAACCGTTTCCTTTGTAGCAACATTGTTGATGCTCAGAATTACCGCCTTATTGAGGACCTGTTCAGGATTAACATGTCAGAGAAGAAAAGATGCAGGAGAATTCTTGAGCAGGTATTAGAAGATGTTCGCTGATATTGTGTTATTTCCATCCATATGGTCACTGCAGGATCAGGGCCCATATAATTAATAGCTAATGGAAACTGTTGGTTGACAATCTGAAGGAAGTGAGTCTGTGAAGGAGGAGAGCAAATAATTGGTGGTTGTACGAGAAGAGGAAGACTTTTTCACACAAGGGTTGTGTAGGAAAAAAGCCATGATAATGTGAGAGATGACTAGGGTCACAGTCCTACTTTCTTTAAAGTCATTCTGAGTACTGCCATTGACTTCAGTAGGAGCAGAATTGGGCCCAAAGGAGCCATCAAAACAAGGTGGGACTGGATAGAGCATATAGCATGCAGTGAATAGGGGAGGAGTAGATGGAAAGAAGAACTAACATACAGGATAAGCAAAGCTATGGAGAGCTTTGAATCTGGATTTCCATGTAGGTACATTCATTATTAATGAAAGCTGAATATCACAATTCATATCCTTTTAAAAGTGCTGAATTTCAGACACTAAATAATGCAATACTATCTGAATTTGTAGAGTTTTAATGCTACTTTCTTTGGTTATGTTGCAGGCTTCCAAAGGAGGTTGTAAAGCCCCTCACGCTATGATATCTTCCTGTGGCATGATTCCTGGAAACCCTTATCCCAAGGGGAAACCAAGCCGGATAAATGGAATTTTCCCAGTATGTGAAGTCTACTTAAGTTCTTCAAAAGTGCTTTTGATTTAGGATGTACTATAGTATACCTGAACTGCTGTTCATTCAAATGAAATGAGGACAACTTGGCATGAGTGGAATTAAAAGCAATAACTTTTGTCGTATATTGCCCAGTAACCACTCATAGTGAACAATAAAAAGAACTCGGATTTCTTTCCTTCAGAGTTCTATGTAAAACCTCCTTTTATACAAGAAATAGATAGAAAAACTTGTACCACAAACTTGCTATACAGAATCATGGAAACTAAAGGTGTAAAAGGCTTATTAGTAGATGAACTTTTTGACATAATATGTGATTGGTCTCTGCAATACATTTACTAATCTCAGTTCATTTTTAAATGTTGTCTGTGAACTCCTTATAGCCTGTCTTTCTGGTGGTGAGGACCCCAGAATTGAATGCAGAATTCCAGGTGTAGCAAAAACGGTGACTATTTAGTATGTTTCTGCAGTGTTATAATGCAGCCTAATTGGAACTTTCTTAATTGTGATGCAACAAATCAAGAACACAGTTCTGTATTTTGGAATGTGTGATTAATTGAGACTATCAGAATAGCTGTGAATTTGAATATTATTCAGAATAAGACTAAGGTGAAAAGCTTTATTTCTGCTTTCTCCTATTTATTTCTAAATAAAATGCTTAATAACTGATGTTTTTTATGTCTTAGGGAACGCCTATCAAAAAGGAGACTGAAGAATGTACTAATGAAGGGAAGGGAATTGCAGCCCGTATACTTGGACCATCCAAACCAGTACGCCATAAGCCTATGATTTTTTTTTTCCTTATGAAATGCTGTCATATCACTAGAAAATAAAAAGACTTGAAGAGGGTATGAGGAAGCTGCATCTCTACTTTCTTGTCAATAAGTATTGATGGCTTTACTTGAGCTTCTTAACTGTAATAAGAATGCTGTGCAGTGTCCCAGTATTTCTATAATTTTATTAACTATAAAGAAATAAATTCTGCAGGGGCTTCCATTCGATACAATATGCATGCATTCTAGGACACAATATCAACTAGGCCAGTAAGGAAAGCCAAGCTGGTTCCCGTAGTTCCATCATGACCTGGTCTAGAAGTTTTAATAGCCATTCTGGCTTTGCTTCATGATCTGTTTTTTCCACATCAAAATCTAATACACAACTCCTGAAATAAGGTGCGTTGTGAGGAAATTTATTCTGTGGCAACACAACTAAATTTCTGATTAAAACTAATTTTTTTTTTGGTAACAAATGGACAGCAAAGTACTGAATCTGACGTTTTCAGTGTGAGTTGAGAAGTATTGTAGAAATGTATGACTAGTACTTCTGTTTCCAGGTGTTTCCCAATCTAGTGGCTGTATTTTTAATTTTATTTATTTTAAGGACTGGATAATTTTATGGCCATAGTTTACATTTGTGGTTGTGCAAATTAAGAGAAGGGAAACAGAATCCAGTGCTTCAGGGCATGAAAGCTGCATGGATCAGGAAAGACTTTCCTTTTTTCCTTTCCTATTGCTATATTACACAACTATGTTATTACAACACAGTATTTCATCTTCTTTAGAAGCATTCAAGTATTGGCAGCTTTAGAGACAGGGTAGCAAACATAATGAGTCAGCAATGTGATTCGATACAGCAAATTCTCTTTCCCAGGATAAATAACAATGATCTGTACAGTATCTAAGCATCTAAATCGGTGGTTCTCAAACTTTTGTACTGGTGACCCCTGTCACATAGCAAGCCTCTGAGTGCGACCTCCCCCCCCCCCCAGTAAATTAAAAACACTTTTTATATATTTAACACTATTATAAATGCTGGAGACAAAGCGGGGTTTGGGGTGGAGGCTGACAGCTCGCGACCCCCCCCATATAATAACTTTGTGACCCTCTGAGGGGTCCCGACCCTCAGTTTGAGAACCCCTGATCTAAATGCTATAATTTTTGGTGGAGAAACATATTACTTAATGCTTTTTCACTTTTTTTAACGTAGGCTCCAGCAACGTACAACCCACACAAACCTGTTCCATACCCCATCCCACCATGCCGGCCACATGCAACTATTGCACCAAGTAAGGCTTCTTTGTGCTTTAGCTTGATCCTATTATTTGATCTATTTGTTTTCTTTTAAAAAGGTTCTAGTGTGGTGATACATTTCTGACCATAGTTACCTTTTTAGTTGACTGTGCTCCCTTTGTGTATTCTGCGTCCTAGCTCTAATAGTATTCCTCCCTAGTATTCTCCTGTTACCACTGTAAAGCCAATACGATGAGTGTGTTGGCTTCTTTTCCAGCTTGTGCATCATTCAGAGAACTGTCAACACCATTCTAATTGTAGAATCTCTTATTTCTGGAGGTTACATGCGTTTCAGAAAAGATGAAGATGATAACTATAGAGTTCTTAGAACTCAATTGAATATAAATATTTGACTTCTGTATCATAAATGCCAATACAAAGTTTGTTGTTGGAAAGCTGGATGTGTTCTTTGAATCTGGCCATGAAAAAGATATGCTGTCCCTTTTAGGGTATGTCTGCTAAGCCAGTGCAAAGCCAACAGACTTGGGCTCATGCTACCCCACTAAATATAGCTGTGTAGATTGTTTTTAAGTTGCAGCTTGTGCTAGAACTTGGGCTCTGAAACGCGCTTCCCTCTCTAGGCTTCAGAGCCTGAGCCATGACATCTACAAGCTATTTGTAGTGTGGTAGCACGAGCCCTGTGAACCTGAGTCTGTCACCCTGGGCTCAGAGGCTCGCTGCCCCAGGCTGTGTAGATGTATCCTTAAAGACAAAGACCACATCGTCAAGCAGAAGTAAGTTTATTTCAGTTGCTTTAAGCTCCTTTGATCAAATGCTACACTGCATTAAGAAACTGCATTGTAATTAGTTAGTAAATAAAGTGAGCTGAGCCTTGCTTCACTTGACTGTTTTTAAGCCATGAGCAAAACTTATGTAAACGTGTTTTGGTATATATCAGTGGGGAGTGTTTGTCCCCTCAGTGAATGTAAACTGCTCCTTAGATCTTTGCCATAAACAGTCATGCAAGGAATTTTAATACCTGTAGCATGAATGAAAAGTGCGCATATCGGAAGTTACTTGATGTTGTAAAGCTCCTTTCCATGTTTTGAGTGGTGTTGATAGTAGTGTCTGTATCTTATGTGTGTGAATTTGCATATATGTTTTTCACACCCTTTGTGGGGGTGTGGATACATATTTTTATATAAGCTCTGATGTCCTTCTTCACTGCAGTAACTAAGCACTAAAACAGTACAAAAGCGTGTGTCAGTTACTATACATTATAGGAAAATAAGCTATTTTTATGATAGGAAACATTTACTATACCTAATCTATCAAGATCACCTGCTATTCCAGTTTAGTACCTTATCATTTAAAGAGATGTTGAAGGACGACGGTTCCAAAGTATGACATTTACCTTGAAAGGACTTTCTTTTTCATGTAAATCTCCTTGCCAGTGTTGGTGGGTTTTTTATTGTCAACCCTCCAAAAACAAGGGTTGTCACAGCCTTGGGGTGGGAGTTGTTAGGGTGGGAACAATAACAATAAATACTGTGACCCACATATGCATTTCGTATCACTTCCTTTCTCCCATCTCTTTTCTTGTAAGACAGCATGGAATTGAAAGAGGCAAGAATTTTGCTCTCCCAGATTGCTTCAGAGAGCAAGAAATACATTTATCTCAGTCTTCCGTTGACACTGTTCTTATGATCCATCAGAGAGCTGCCCTAACTAAAACTTACATTGGAACACATGCCTCTCATCGTATGCAGCCTGGGGGGTTAAGTGGCTTTGCTTTAACTAATAAGGGAACATTTTAGAGCCTTGAAATAATAACAGAATAATACTGACTAGTCCACTCTTAAATCATCTGTTTGTATTTATTGAGTTTTGTTTGACGCATATGTGTGGTGTTTGGGTTTTTTTTAGGTGCTTACAATGCTGGTCTAGTTCCAATGGCCAGTGTCCTAGCACCAAGCTTACCAGCTCCTCCGCCATATACCCCTAATCAAGTGGGATCAGGTAAAGCATGTGTGTCTGTATAAATGTTGGCGTAAACAAATGTTTTTAAATGTGAGAATGGATAACTTATTTCTGAAGTTGTTCTGTCCTTAAATAACTGTTGTTCTCTATATAGAAAACGAAGACCTTTCCAATCAGGCAAAACCTTCCCAAAATCAAGGTAAAGTGCAGCTCTTCAGGGAAAATCTGCTGTATTTTGATGCAATTTAATGCATTCCTTTCAGAAAGTTGTAAATTATTTTTAAACCTCAGGATTTTTAACTTAATCTGAATGAAGATTAATATTTTGTATTTTTAATTGTGTGCCTATTTGTCCAGATAATATAGCAAACAACTAAGACAAAATACTCTTAGAAATGCAGTGCACGGAAATTCATTATTAGCAACTGTTTTTCAGTTGCTGAAAAAATTGCTTTTTGCCTAATCTGGGACAAGGAGGATTTTTGTGTATGTAAGTCACAGTGGGAGATTTGAATGCACAACCGCCAAATTTTGCTGATAGCACAGTATGTTCACAGCTTGTAACTTGTTTAAATCCAGTATGTGGGGAAAGTTTCATTGCTGCTACTTGTGCCATTCCTATTATATGGCAGAAACTAAAAACAAAATAACTTGAACTTTTTTCAAGCTGAATTTGTCTTCTGTTATGCACACAAGCAAGTAACCAAAACAAAGTAAAATGGCCCTGTTAAAGGAGCTAACATTAAAAATTCTGGGAGAATATTCTCTGTCTGTTTTGTCTCCATCCTCTCTGCCCAGGTGTAGTTGCTCAGGAATTTTGCTACTTAAAGACATACTAAGTTATACGCTTATGACAAATACACAGGTAAATCAATACAATTAAAAGGACAACATCCTCATTGAAAACCAGAGTACCAACAACAATCCTTGGCTATCTTGAACCTAGATTTCTCTGATACCAACTTTAATGGGTCAGAGCCAAGAACTGTGACCATTAGTTAATTCTAGGGTTGTCGATTATTCGCAGTTAACTCGCGCGATTAACTAAAAAAAAAAATTATTGTGATTAAAAAAATTAATCGTGATTAATCGCACTGTTTAACAATAGAATACCAATTGAAATTTATTAAATATTTTGGATGTTATTCTACATTTTTGTATACTGTATTCTGTGTTGTAATTGAAATCAAAGTATATATTATTTTGGATTACAAATATTTGCACTATAAAAATGACAAACAAAATAAATAGTATTTTTCAATTCACCTCATACACGTACCATAGTGCAGTCTGTTGTGAAAGTGCAACTTACAAATGTACTTTTTTTCGTTACATAACTGTACTCAGAAACAAGACAATGAAAAACTTCAGAGCCTACAAATCCACTCAGTCCTATTTCTTATTCAGCCAGTCTCATAGACTTTAAGGTCAGAAGGGACCATTATGATCATCTGGTCTGACCCCCTGCATGCTGCAGGCCACAAAACCGTCCCTACCCTTCCCTTGACTCTGCAGATGAAGTCCCAAATCCTGTGTCTTGGTGACTTCAATTTTCAGAGAACCCTCCTGCTAGCGATCCCTGCCCCATGCTGCGGAGGAAGGGGAAAAACCTCCAGGGCCTCAGCCAATCTACCCTGGAGGAAAATTCCTTCCCGACCCCAAATATGGCGCTAAGATAAACAAGTTTGCTTACATTTACAGGAGATAATGCTGCCCTCTTCTTACTTACAATGTCATCAGAAAGTGAGAACAGGCATTTGCCTGACACTTTTGTAGTCAGCATTGCAATTTATTTCCTTGCCAGATATGCTAAACATTCATATGCCCCTTCATGCTTTGACCACCATTCCGGAGGATGTGCTTCCATGCTGATGACGCTCGTTAAAAAAAAATGCGTTAATTTAAATTTGTGACTGAACTCCTTGGGGGAGAATTATACGTGCAGCATTATCTCCTGCAAATGTAAATAAACTTGTTTGTCTTAGCAATTGGCTGAACAAGAAGTAGGACTGAGTGGACTTACAGGCTCTAAACTTTTACGTTGTTTTATTTTTGAATGCAGGTTTTTTTGTACATAATTTTACATTTGTAAGTTCAACTTTCATGATAAAGAAATTGCACTACAGTACTTGTATTAGGTGAATTGAAAAATATATTTTTGTTTTTACAGTGCAAATACGTGTAATCAAAAACAAATATAAAATGAGCACTGTACACTTTGTATTCTGTGTTGTAATTGAAATCAATATATTTGAAAATGTAGAAAACATCCAAATATATTTAAATAAATGGTATTCTGTTATTGTTTAACAGTGTGATTAATCACTATTACTTTTTTTTAATTGCTTGTCAGCCCTAGTTAATTCTTCAATTTGGAGTTCAGGATGAGGTTGTGGAAAGAGAGCCCAAGACATGGGGCACAGATCCTGGTTTTGTAGAAAAGGACAGAAGTGAACCTTTTTCATTTTGTTTGCAAATATCTAAAATGTTTAAGTTTCAGAATATTAAGAGTATTTGCCTATATCAATTTAAACAGTATCCGAAGATCTTAGGGCTGAGTTTTCAGTGGTAGAAAACTTAAGGTTATAAAGGGGGGAGAGGTAAATTTATGATATAACATGGAGTTAAAGAAGCAGTAAATTTTGCCTCCTGGGTCAGTGTTCTGTTCATGGTTAAACAGAAAATGTTAATTTCTAAACAAAATATAAAAGTTAGTTTTTAAGGGAAACGACCAGTGATTAGATTACTACATGCCTTATTTCTAATCCACAATGGAGCAAGGGAATTATATTAAAAATAATGGGAACAAAGAACATGATAGCATTTATAGGGAGAGCAAGGTGTTATAAAAATGCTATGGAAGTGACTAGAATTAAAGGGCTCAATCCTTATGTAGTATTTACATAGCACTCCAAATTGGTTAAAACACAGTTTAGCACAAATTTTGGGGTGTTGAGGTCAAACAGTTCTTACTCATGGAAATGCCCACATTGAAGGTGATGGGGCTACTCGCATTTAGAAAGAGTTTCAAGACCCATAATGAGCTTTGAGACACCAGCTTTCAGACTTAGGGCTTGTCTATACTTACCGCGCTGGTTCGGCGGCAGGCAATTGAACTTCTGGGTTCGATTTATCGCGTCTAGTCTGGACACGATAAATCGAACTCAGAAGTGCTCCCCGTCGACTCCGGTAATCCTGCTCGCCGCGAGGAGTACGCGGAGTCGACGGGGGAGCCTGCCTGCCGGGTCTGGACGGCGGTAAGTTCGAACTAAGGTACGTCGACTTCAGCTACGTTATTCACGTAGCTGAAGTTGCGTACCTTAGTTCGATTTGGGGGTTTAGTGTAGACCAAGCCCTAGACTTAGTGTCCTCTCTCCCATTTAATCTGGTAGTGTGCCTTCCTGCTTTCCTCCAGAGAACATCCCTCTTTATTTACTTTGTAGGGTTGATATAAACTGAAATTCTTGGTGTTAGCTGTAGTGCATTGGTACTTGAAGATTGGACATTTGATCCTCAGTTGGAACAAACTGTTTTTTAGAGACTCTGTTTTTATGGGCAGGTTTCATTGTTAGCTAGTACACCTGTAGCACACATGAATCTCGTAGTGTACTTCCTCTACTGTCCAGATTGTGATATACAGAATCAAAAACAGTGAAAGATTTAAACCTACCTACCAATAAAATAAAAACCAAACTTCTCCTAAAATTATGTACTCTGCAGTTGTGGATTGGATTCCAACAAACCTCTGTAAAATCCTGGCAATCTACCTGTTCTAGAATTAGCGTAGACCTTCATATAGAGCTCATGTGGAGAGCAGAAATGGTACCAGTGCAGAATGCTCATCCTATTATGGGTGCTGCTAGATGTTAGGGGCAGGAATTAGCTGTTTACCTGTCTTACATAGAGATATCTCTGGGAGCATGTTTGAAGATCTAAACTCTCTTGCACTAGCTCATTAAGAAATTGTAAATGCTATAGAGTGGTTTAGACATAATTGCTAGTGCGTGTAATAGATAATCGTTGAAGGGAGACACATAGATACATGTAGTCTACTTACTGTATACTGCTCGACATGTATCACCTATATGTAGATACCTCTATATTTTATCTTCATAGCCTTCCATGTAGATTGTGTATATACAAACGTGTTAGTTACTGCTTGTGTATCATATTTTATAATGATATAAGATGCATTTGTGTTTAATTGAAACATTTCTGTGGGTTTCAAGTATTCTTACCAGTTTTGTTTCTTTGCAGCTTTTTCTGCACAAGCGAATCAGCTCTTTACTCCTCATGGTTCTAATCCTTCAACACCTGCTGCTACTCCAGTCCCTACCCCATCCCCTGTCAAGGCGATAAGCCATCCATTAGCACCTGCCACTGCAGTCATCCCTGGGATGAGCATGTCTACCCCTGTGCTTCCTGTTTTCCCAGGGCAGGTCTCCTCTTCCATCCATACATCTCAGCCATCAACCCCAACCCCATCTGTCATCAAATCCCTTTCATTGTCTGGTGTTCCTGTCACATCTGTTCATAGTGCAACCTCCATCCCTATTCCTGCAGTTTTCTCTGGACTGGCTTCTATCCCTGCTGCTACGCCAGCTCCACAAGCTTCTTCCACACCATGTGCCACACCTGCCTCTAATGAAGCTTTTGCATCTGCTTCTGCACCATTTGCTGGCCTCCCTTTTTCTGCAACCTCTTCAATTGCTTCAGTTAATAATCCTGCTCCATTGTCATCAGTTTTTGCTGGCCTCCCTTTGTCCTTGACCCCCACTCCTCAAGGGATGTCTAGTCCCATTCCTTCTGCAATTGCTAGCTCTCCTGCCACTAGCATCTCTGGCCCACTTAGCTTGCCTAATCCAATTCTGTCTGTTTTAAAGGGATTTCTGACATCAAATGATACCTCATTAATCAGTGCTTTACCTTCTGCTGTGACAAGTGAGCTTGCCTCTTTATCTGCTCTTGCTAATCAAAGCTCTGAGCCTCCTGCCTCCTCTGTAAACAAATGTTATACCCCATCTGCCACACCTACACCTCAACGTTCTTCCACGCCAGGGCTGGCCATTTTCCCGGGTCTTCCATCTCCCTCTGTAGCCAATCCTAGTTCCACTCCCCCAACATTGCCAACTCAGTCACCATTAACCACTTCACAATCTATTATACCAGTCAGCTGTGGCGCCTCTGTTGCGCTTTTGCATGGTGCGAGCCCTACTAATCCCGAGCATCAGATTTCATCAGCCCCAGTTGCCACAGGTATTCCAGTTCTAGTCAAAACTGAACCCATGAGCCCTACTCTCTCAGCCTTCAAAGGCCCTTCTCATTCGGCTGGCCCATCTCATGGCACGCTAGGATTGTCAGCGCTTGGGCGTGCATATACCTCTGCAACTTCAGTGCCAGTCAGTTTACCTAGTTCCCTTAATCCAGCATTATCAGGTCTCTCCTCTTTGAGTGCTCCCTTAAACAGCTCCACGTCTCTTGCCTCCATTTCCCTTGCCCCACATGCTTCCTCTGCTCCAGTTGCCCCAGTATTTAATGGACTTCCTCCCTTCACGTCTCTGACCAGTAACTTTGCTTTTACTGGTAACCCAGCACTTACACCACCGGTCACTGTCCCAGGGTCTTTGTTAGCAACTCCATCTACAACTGCTTCATCTGTGTCTGCTTCTCATGTGAATTCTACAGCAGCTGTTCTCTCCGGACTCACTGCTTCAGCAACAGTCTCTGCTCCACCCTTTCCGCTTAACTTGTCCAGTGCCGTCCCCTCCCTATTTTCTGTCACCCAGGGGCCTCTGGGATCATCAAACCCATCCTTTCCTGGTTTCCCTGTCTCTAACACACCCACTGTCACTCCAGCTCTCCCTTCTTTCCCTGGCCTCCAGGCATCTTCTACAGTAGCAGCAGTTGCACCGCTGCCGGCAGCTGCCACAGCCCCATCTCCGGCTCCGGTCCTGCCAGGGTTTGCCTCGGCCTTTAGCTCAAACTTCAACTCTGCACTTGTTGCACAGGCTGGGTATGTTTCTGTTTCTGAAGGAGGTCAAAACCATTTCTTTCTCGGCAAAACACTGATTTACTTTAGACATAGATGGTATTTCCAGGCATAGTTATAAAGTACTTTTAATATTTTAAATGCTTACTTCAGCAGTAGATTTTCATCTGTCTTTAGAATTTAAATGAGGAGGCCAGTCTATTTTGCAACTAGTGTCCAGGATTACAGTTTCTATAAGGTGATGAGTGTCCTCAGCTCCATGTTGAGGGTACTTGGCATCTCCTACAACATGCTAGGATTTTGCAAGAATGGGTCTAAAATATGTATCAATTGACATACTCAGGTAATAGCAGACAATATCCTAGCCTTTTCTGTGTCAAGAAAAACATCCAGCACTACATTTTCACCTACAAAATATTCATGCACAAGCAGGTAACCGCACACAAGATACTGGCTTGCATGCTCAAGTTGCATGTGTGTACCAGTGTTCTGGCTTGTACATGCAAACACTGTGTGGGTGGCAGCTTAGGTGTTCTGTTTGGGAAACTTAGTTAACTGAGGTTTAGAAACCCTGGTGCTCTAGCAAGATAAGAAATCTAGGATAAAATATTGTTGAAAGTGTTCCTAATGACTGCCATGTCTTGATTATTTCAGCTTGACTTCTGGGCTGCAAACCCCAGGAAATACAGTTTTCCCTGGACTCTTGTCTCTTCCTGGTATCCCTGGATTTACCCAAAGTGCCACACAGTCTTCCCTGCAGGAATTGCAGCATAGTGCAGCAGCGCAATCAGCGCTACTACAGGTAAGCTGCATATGTCTTGATATTTCACTGCCTTAAGGCCCCACCGGAGTATTAATTGTTCAATATCAAATCTTCGCTTTTAGAAAGCACAGCGTACTTTAAAGAATTGGCTACAAGGCTGATACAGTACACTCTGATAATCCAACATCCAGTTGTCTGAAGATAGCTGTTGCTCTTGTGGGACAGGACTATCATCAATGGCATTTCAGCTGACTTTCTATAAAGACTGTGGATGTGTCAAATTTTTTCTTATGGGTGGCATTGTAAAAGTGGGGCGGAGGAAAGAAGGGGACAGATCTGACTTGTAAAATGTGTAATATCTTGATCTAGTGCACTGACCTGGGTTCTGTTCCTAGCACTAATTTTGCGATTTTAGGCAAATCACTTAATCTGTGCTTCATTGGTTTTTACAGACAGAGAAACCGTTTGCTTTGTAAAGTCTTTAAGATCTACAGATGGAAAATGATAAGGGAACAAAGAATTACCTACAGGATTTTAAAATTATACCCATATATATTGTACTAATAGAAGACATTGTTCTTGTTTGCATGCTTTGATCACTGAAATTATAACTTAAATATAGATCTTAGTTAAAAATACAATAAGGTTGTGAAGGAAGATTTAAGATTAGAAAATTAGTGAAACTCTTCTTAAAACCTCAGTCTCAAATGAAGCCATCTGGAAAACCACCCCTTTTTACCGTCTCTGTGAATCAGACTGCTTTTCTAGTGTTCTGTAGTGGCTGTAGTGTAAATATACCCTGAGTTACACCTAGGAAGGAACATAAAAGGCAATAAGAAGAGGGTTTATGAATATATCAGGAGCAAGAGAAAGACAAAGGAAAGTGTAGGTCCTCTACTTAGCAGGCCAAGAGAGCTAATAATGGACAACATCAAGAAGGCTGAGATGTTTAATGCCTATTGTGCTTCATTCTTCACTAAAAATGTAAATTGTGGCCAGATACATAAAATTAATATTTGCAACAAGGGGTAAGGAATGCAAGCTAAAATAGGGAAAGAGCAAGTTAAAGAATATTTAGATACGTTGGATGTATTTAAATTGACAGGGCCTGATGAAATTTACCCTAAAGTACTTAAGGAATTAGCTGAAACAATCTCAGAACCATTAATGATTATCTTTGAGAACACATGAAGGATGGTTAAGGCCTCAGAGGACTGGAGAAGCGCGAATCTAGTACCTGTCTTTAAAATGGGGAACAAAGAGGACCTGGAGAAATTATAGACCAGTCAGCTGAACTTGGATACGTGGAAAGATACTGGAACAAATTATTAAACAATCAGTTTATAAGCAGGTAGAGGATAATAGGTTGTAAGGAATAGTCAGCATGGATTTGTCAAGAACATATTATTCCAAACAAACCTAATTTCCTTCTTTGACAGGGTTACTGGTCTAGTGGATGCGGGGAAGCTGTACGCATGATATCTTAATTTTACTAAAGCTTTTCATACAGTTTCACAGGACATTCTCATAATCAAACTAGGGAAATGCAGTCTAGATGAAATTACTGTAAGGTGGGTGCAAAATTGGGTCAAAGACTTACTCAAAGAAGTAGTTATCAATGGTTTGCTGTCAAACTTGGAAGATGTATTGGTGTGTGTGGGGAGAGTCCATAGGGGTCTGTCCTGGGTCGGGCACTACTCAATATTTTCATTAATGACTTGGATAATGGAGTGGAGAGTGTGCTTATAAAAATGTAGCAGAGGTGGCAAGCACTTTGGAAGACCGCATTAGAATTCAAAATAACCGTAACAAATTGTCTTGAAATCAACAAGACAATAAAGACAAGTGCAAAGTACTACACTTAGGAAAGAAAAATCAAATGCACATCTACAAAATGGGAAATAACTGGCTAGGCAGTAGTGCTGCAGAAAAGGATCTGGGGATTACGGTAGATCCCAAATTGAATATGAATCAACAACGTGATTCAGTTGCAAAAAGGGCTAATATCATTCTAGGGTGTATTAACAGGAATATTTTGTGTCAAACACAAGAGGCAATTGTCCCTCTGTATTTGGCACTGATGAGGCCTTAGCTGGACTACTTTGTCCAGTTCTGGGTATCACGCTTCAGGAGAGATAGGGACAAACTGAAGAGAGTCTTGAAGAGAGTCTAGAAGAGAGCAACAAAAATGGTAAAAGGACCTGATCGCTGAGGAAAGGCTAAAAAACCCCCAACAAACTCTGTATATTAAGTCTTGAGAAAAGAAGACTGGGAGCGGGACCCGAAAAGTCTTCAAATTACGTTAAGGACTGTCATAAAGAGGATGGGGCTCAATTGTTCTCCGTGTCCACTGAAGGTAGAACAAATAATGGCTTAATCTGCAGCAAGGAAGATTTAAATTTAGATTTTGAGGGGAGAGATAGCTCAGTGGTTTGAGCATTGGCCTGCTAAACCCAGGGTTGTGAGCTCAATCCTTGAGGGGTTGTTAAAGAACCGCCTACGCTTAGATATACTTCCTTCCCATCTCCCTCCTCTGCAGCACACCCAACGTGCTATTCTGAAACTTCTCTTGTTAAAAGTTCTGTACCATGAACAGGAATAGTTCTCTGCATGGCTTTTTGCTTTTTTAAAAGTTCCTTCCTAACCTGCTTGTTTTCTCTTTATTGAAGGCACATTCAGCTTCAGCTCTAGAGAACTATCCAGCTCAGCCTGATGGTTTTACTAGCTATCCCTCTGCACCAGGAACACCGTTTTCACTGCAGACAAGTCTACCCCAGAGTGGATGGCAATAAATATCATCTTTTTCTTGACAAGCAAGACATATTTGAAGACTGAAGTGGTGGCTTGACAGAGCCTGATCCTGTTGCCGTTAAGTCGATGGCAAAATACCCATTGACTTCAATGGGGACATGATCTGGCCCAGAAATTGGGACAGAGAAGCAAGACGAGAGTGAAGAGCTTCTGGGAAACTGTTCTTGTGTCAGATTACAAACAAATCCATGATTACTCTTGCTTTTAAACAATTTGGGGTGTGATCCTGTGATGTGCTGAACATCCTCAACTTCCTCTGTAGCTGGGGAGCTGGGTGTTTGGTTCCTCATAGGACCAGGCCCTTTAAACACAGACTTCCTGTGTAATTAGAATAATTGTCAGCCAAACGGTATGGGGAAAATGGTATTCTAAATAGTGTGTGGTATTTTTCACCCATCATTCTTTTCAAATTTGTATGGTATGTGTGGTAATGTAGAAAGAACATCTAGATTGAAATTAGACACTTAAAGCTGTAGACAATCCTTAGTGTAGATGCACATCTCTCGTTACCATCAGTAAGAGTTATGTGCACAGATCAAGGTCCGTGTATGGCTCTTGGGATTTATTCTCTCCTTCATATGCATGAGTAACTCTTTATTAGTATCAGTAGTATGTCGAGGGGAGACTAGATCAGGTTCTTAAAATGCCATATGAAATATTGTTGTGGACCTGCTGCTGAACTGAATACTCCTCTATCTGAGTCAGAACAGAAGGAAGCCAGACAATGATGCTGTACTGTATTCTGGGATAGGAACTAGTTACTTTTAATTGAGTAAAGTTTAGCTAGTGAGGAACACTTCTTTACAGAAATGCAAACAAGCCTTTCATTTTGTCTCCAGGATATGCTCTTTAACATCCCCCTATGTTAATGGAAGTAATTGTATTGCAAATAGACTACCTATCCATCACTGTTTGCTGCAGGCTTTTGAGACTGTTTACAGTCATGGACCAAATTTTGCTCTCACACTCATGTAACCAAAGTTTGGTTATATTCCGTGGAATAGCAAGTGTGTAAGTGAGTGCAGAATTTGGGCTATGGATTTTTAGCATTTTTTCCTTGGAAAACATACATGATTTTAAAGGTAAATAACTGAATTAACTGCATTGGCTAGGAATGGTATGACACAGCATATGGAAAGGTCTTGCTTTGTAAGTAAAATGCAGTGTGTGCACTCATAATAATTGTAGTACCTGTGGCAGTGTGTAACACATCATTGAATATCATCTGTTTAAGAAAAACTCTAGATCAAGTTCTAAAAGACAATAGAGATGATATGCAATCATGTGATTTTAAAATAAACTGTAGAAGATATACTGTAGAACAGTTCTGCACCTAGAGTTTTACTTTTTTAAAGATGGATTCTGCTGGAAGACGTTGCTAATGTATTTTCTTTCAATGTGTGAACAAACTTTTTTAAAACATTAATGGGAATTCCTGTATTAGTTTTTAACACAATTTTTTAAAATAAGTTTACACTCATGGCACAAAGGCTTTAGTGACTATTTGCCTAGTAGTTTATAAAAACACTTGAATAAACAATTTTTTACAAAAAAATTTCCTAAAGTTTTATCTTTAGATTAATCGAAATGAGAGATCCTATGGTATAATATAGAATTTTATGCTGAACATAATTTAGTTACTTAAAAACAAACAGTGCGATAATACAACAAATATTCTGCTGAGTATGTCTGAATCAGACCAGTATTTAAATACATTTGATTCTATAATACTTTAAACTGTCAACAGCAATAAGAGTGACGCTGTTTTCAAATGTCTGAAATATAACTTATCAGTATATGAAAATCTTCCAAAGCAAGACAGAACAGTTGCTGCATACATGCTTTGATACTGAAGCTGGGAGAGGAGATGTCTCTTCAATGTTTTCTTCAACTTGGGCCCAATCCTAGAGTGTGCAGCTCTCATTTTTCTTCGAGGTCATCTTGTGGGTTCAGCTGTCTTTTTCCAAAACTGTATTTCATTGCACAACTATTACTGTCTAGCACTTGGTTAGTTTTCAGGAGGAGGAAGATAAGGTAACAGATAAGTTTTCTTGTTTCAATTTAATATCTTGGAAGGTATGCATTGTGTGCTAGTGAGGATAGATACTGTCAAGCCTAGTATCTATAGAGCCTGCACCATTTTGGGGGTTAGGGTATGGAGTACATGTCCAGAAACATTAAGGCAATTGGCCAAATTTGGATCTAGTGTAAGTGGTTGTGACTCCATTGAAGACAGTGCAGTTGCTATACCTGTTTCCATTGAATCCAAATTTGGCCATGGTATATTATGTTTATATTATGTTTGCCTGTAAAATCTCTAATCTTCTTATAGCGCTTTACAACAAATATTAGGCATCAGATATGATACTTGTATACAATACATAGAAAATTTGAAAATTTGGCTGTGGTTTGGCTACAAAATATGTGATTCTGGCTACCCACTTCACTCCCCATGTAGGGAGACTGTTTCTGACCCAGCTGTATTAAAATGTGAACCACCTCAGTTAGTTCCGTTTTCCAAAGATACAGCAGATATTTAAACTCTCTGGAGATGAATTTTATAAAGCACTAGAATGTCTTGGGTCAGGCATCCAAGTGCAGGTCAAATGTTGTCTTTTAGTTCACACCAGATGTACAGGCTTTCCTTTGGGAGTTAATACAAGGAAAAGCCTATTTAAAAATTATCCAGAAGAGCCAATGTCAATTTGCTTCCCATACTCTTTCCCACATCAATTACTGATTTGTGAATATTTTACCATAGAGTACTGTAATCAGTATTAGATAAGGAACTTCAGGAACCTTGATTTTGTTAATGCAAGCAACAGTGATCACCAGTACAGTATATTTAGTTCCATGTTTTCAGTTTTTATTTGTTTAAAAAAAAATTCTGGGAATATTTTCGTTTATTTTCCAAATATTAAAACCGAGATGAAATCGAGTTTTAAAAAAAATTAGAAACATTGGGGAAAAAAGAAAAACCCCAAAACTTTCATAATATACACATTTTACTACAGTATAATTGAAACTTCTTTTTTTGTACAAAGGTATCTTTTGTCTCTCTCAGAGCTAGTAGTTTTTCTCTAAATCGTGGTTTGCGTATGCTCACATGATTTTTTTTTCAAAGTGTCCTCACTCATGTTGAGTCTCTTGCTGTCTTGGAGGTAGTCCAAATTTGAAAATATGCATTCTGTGTCAATAGATCCAGAGGATACACTCAAAACTTGCTGTGCCACTTTGCTGAAGTGGGAAGTGTCTTAATGACTGTTCCAAAAAACGTGCACATCCAATTTCATATTGTCAGGGTTAGGCAAAGTAGTAAATTCCCTTTTCAGATTTGAAATTTCATCTTTAGAGGCAAATGGTTGAAATGCTCTGGCATAATGATCATAGTCTGCTGCAAAATTCACCCTGAGGAAGGGGTGCAACATTCCAAAAACAATCTTTGTCACCAAACTTAGGGACCATGGTCCCCTCCCATTTCTCGCTGAGCATTGTGTTGAAGGTTTTGAATGCTTTTTTGGCTTACTCATGTTCCGGGGTTGGAAAGATTTCCAAAACCAGCTGTTTTTTCTTGCCATATGTTTCTCTTGCACCTTTTGTGCTCAATTCAGCTGAGATTTTGCTTGTCAGGATCTGGTAAATGTCGGTATTGGCAAACGTGTTGGCAGTAGTCAGAGAAAACTCCAGCGTTTCAACAATGAACATTACCTTTGTGTGCTGAATCTGGCGGTCATTTTGGTTATTTGCCAGTCACTTCAGAGTTTCTGCTATAGAACCAACAAACTCAGGATGATCTAGGAGACGCAATAGCACAGCCTATGAATTATTTACATGATGGGCAGTGAAATCCAAGCTCATCCACCGATGTGGCACAAGAAGGGTAGGTAATAGGCAGTTAGCTCTGCACTTGTCTCGCATTGTGTAAAACAAAGCCTTCAAGTTGTTCGCATGCTTGAAAACCTCCCCGAATCCAATGATGGCAAAATGTCATGTCTTTCATTTCTTCTGTAACAGTAGCTGCTGACAGCACAACGTTAATCAGATGAGCAGGACAGGTAATGCTTAGCAGCTCTGGTTTCTGATTGAGTTTAATCTGTGCAAACATAGCTATGTAGGAAGCAAAATCTGTGTTAGTTGTGGCCACGTTTTCCCAAGTTAGTTGGTACATCTCAAACATGTCAATGATTGCTGCATTGACAAAACGGCTGTCAGCAGAAGGGATGAATGTCACATCAGCACAAAACAATGCGGGTTTATTTGCTTTGAAATCAAAAAATGAAAACAAGGCCAAGAATTAGATGGTCCAAAGCATTAGGAGACCTGTAAAAAAATCAGACTAGACACCACATTTCCATCTATTTGTTCCATCGATTTAGATACTAAAGCATCATTTTCTTTTAGATACTTACGAGTGAGATTGTCTGCATTGGGAAGGGATTTTGCTGCTGGACAGTATTGTAACACAAAGTCACCAATAGGCTCCTGCAATTAACAGCAGTTGGCAAAACAAAGAGCACACACAAATTCATTGACAGAATTGTGCTGTGTTCTTCATTAAAGCCTTGGTGTAAGATCCTGATACTGACTGTTTTATCCCGACACTCGCTCTCTTTTTTTTAAGCTGCTTGTGTCGCTTGCTTTCAACATGCTCCTTTATTCAGCCAGCACGAGCACTGACCTCAATGCTGCAGTACTTGCAGTGCAATGAGTCTTCTTCACGCTCCTCTTTACTTCTCTTGAAAATTTCTAAGCACTGATTATTTTCTTGTTGGTATTCAGGCATAGATTTGCATTTTCACCCCATGTTTACCTTATCTATCTGTAACCACCAAGAAGTTTACCTAGGTTCCTGGAGCTCTGTGTGCTGGTAGTTCAGGAAGAGACACACTGTCCCTGACAGTAAGGAAGAGCCAAGGTCAAACTCAGACTCTGCTAGATAGCCAAGGGGGAGAGAAGAGAGGCACTATGTAGAACAACAGGGGTGCCTGTTGGTTTGGAGGATTGCAGGTGGTCCTGCTCAGAGGATGGGGCAGAGTGAAATGATTGGCAGGGGAAAGCCGAGGAAGAAGAGCTAGCCTGACCAATTGAGAGTGAAATGCCCTCCCCTGGGATCCCTGGAGGGGGGAGAAGCCATTTTGAGGGTAGTCTGGAGCCAGCCACAGAAAGGGCAGGATTGGGTGTGTGGGGATCCAGAAGAACCCAGCCCAGTCCAGTCCAGTCCAGCCAAACCCATAAGGAGATTGACACTAAAGGAGGTATCTGGGTGAATAGGGGGCATTACATATTTTTATCTGTGGAGGCTTGATTGTTTAAATTCAGCGCTACACTAAATTGACACAAAGAAATAGGTGGGCAGCATCTCCTTGCGAGCCAATCACTGCGCAATATTAACGTTTGATTTTTCTTCCCAACCTCCCCTGTATGTGTTCTGTGCTTTACTCTATAGAACTGCTGCAATCTCAGAGCTGCAGGGCACAACAGTCACGTAAAGTGTTAGTGTTTAACAAAAAGAAGTACCCCCTCCCCCAAAATATTGACTGGATCAATAAATGGGTATAAATCAGTAAAAACTGAACTCCTTTTATTAAAAATCTGGTAATTTATCAGTGAAAATCAGTAAAAACTGAAAAGGCAGAACACTATTTCAACTTGGTTTCAATGTTCAATATTTCAATTTGCTTAATGCTCCAACACTT